GGAGATGGTTAGACGGTGATGTAGTGAGCTCAAAATGAAGAGTGAGGTGCTAAGCAAACTGTGATGAGCTCAAGGGTCAATGACCTGGTAAGTTTTGTATGATTGAACTAGTAAAGTCTTCATGGTTGGACGGGAGAGCTCCATAATTTAAAGGGGTAATTATGATCAATTATGAGAGATTTTTGGTTAATCAAATAAATTATCAGTTTCATTCAGGATTCATCTAAAATAAATATATTTATGATTTCATAAGAAATTATTGAATAGACAATGCCATAAACGGGAGCCCTGGCGAGAGCTCGAGCTGGGGTCGGTAAAAATTTTGTACTTCAATAACTATTACATCTCTGACCTCAGTACAATAAAAAATTATCCAATTATTGGCATACATTCGTAAGAAGAGCGCCTGAGTAGATTTTGACGAATGTACCTGGATATATTCTATCATGTCGTGGTAAAGCATTGCATTCGCCGTGACCACTCGGTATAAGATACTCACTTGAGCTTGAACTGGGCTCTTCAATTCGAAACACTAAGACTAAATTGTTTTTTGTGGCTCTATAAAAACCTCGATTTTAAATGAGAAAACTACGTACACAAGGGTTCACGCTTTGTCCAGAAACTGATATTATTGCTACTGTTGTGTTTCTTGTCGTGTAGTGCGATTCCGTTGACCTGAACCAGAAACTACTGTTTCAAAGGGTTTGATCTCAACAGGTTCTAAACCACGTAAAATAATGTTGTTATTAGAAAAATTAAATCTAGATATGGTCACGTTTTAGAGCATAGAGCTCGACCCTGTTTGACCTGTAAATTAGGTACTCTACCAGAGTATTGGCGATGCTGTGAACATGATCAAATATATTTTTTTAAATAAATTGCTGCAGTATTTATTATTGCTGTATACAAAATTGAAATATTTATTATTGCCAAGCAAGGGCACAATATATTTTACTCTGCAGGGCGGACCCTCAGCTCTTGCATACAGCTTTTGCCGGGTTAGTATACGAGAGTGGCATACCATCGTAGTGAGTCATACTTTCGGGCCATGTATTACTAATTTCTATTCTGTACCGTCTCGCTTCTAGGTCACCAGTTTCCATTCATGTCCGCTAAGAGGGCTAAAATGTACACAGAGGGATCGCCACAAACGTACGGCAGGCTTCCAATGTTACGCCAAGCTGGGTGATTGCTCGTTTGGTTACCGTAAATTTCGCTAAGTAAATTACAACGAATGTCGATTCAATGTCGAGCAAAGTCCAAGCAGCGTGAGCATGGATAATTCAATTCTCGCTAGATATGCACGATTGCAGTGACATTTGCTAACAATTGTATTGATATCTCCAGTGTCTACAGCTTGACGTTAAATTATCGTGATATTCAGAGCTTCAAGCGACATTTGTTTGGGTGATTTGATTGTTATTGAGGTTTTATTAGATTTCACAGTGCGGTTTAGAGCCATTCAGGTCTATTCGACTTTCTGAATGACATCTGGTTTGAGCGGAAAGTCTGACCGCCGAGACACTCAGCAAATAAATTTCAGAGAACTATGAAAAGCACACAAAGCACGGATAATAGCCGTGCTTTGTGTGCTTTTCATGTATTAAATTACATGTAGGCTACGTTGTAGTAGCATAGCGCTGCTTCGTGGCTTCGGTAGGACTGGCGGATCGTGTTGACGCTGTGTTGCACAGTCACAATTGCATTATTAAATTATTGAAAAAATACATTTTGGATTATAAAATGGAATAATTAATTCCTGCACATTTCGTTTATTTTCAAATTCTTATAAACTAGAATTATATATTGATAGTGGAGAGACTGTTACAGGTTTTTTTTTTTTTTTAGAATTTGTTCGTCTTCATTCTTACATTTCCGCAATATTTGGGGGTCAAACGAACAATACATTAGTGAGGGCTTATGCAATGACCATCAGCTCGATTCGAAAAGGGACGAGGAGAGGCGGGTCTTCTTTTCTGCTTGCTGCTTGTCTTCAAATGCGAAGTGAGAGTGCCACATGTAGTCGAGGGAGTGTGCGTACCGGTATCGTACCGGTAAACTGATATAGGAAAATTGATGTGGAGTACACAATTCCCTTGCTTCGCCTTGATATTTGTGGCCTAAACTTAAATTTCATAGGATTACGGGCTGTTTCGATACCAAGCGGGCTCTCCGTTTATATAAATCAAGTGATATTGAAGCACAACCACCTATTGTATAATAGTCTCCTCCTCACTTTCAACTTGCCATAATGGCGAACGTCCGGACGTGGCTATCAAACCAGTCAAAGCGGCAATTGAACGCATACTTTTGCAAGTGCTGTGTCTCAACGAGCTATGCACGGCGGTAGAGGATGTAACAAGTAAAAACGCATTAACACCAAGCTAGGCTCAGTGAAAAATGCTCAGATCCCAGACCTTGATGTATACAGTGGTGCACCTCGTTTACGACAGCGGTACGCCTCTATAACCTTCAAAATTTGATGATTACGCTCAGTTGTGGTGTAGCGATTTCTAAGTAATCGCTGAAGTGGCTACATTCAAGTTGCTCAAGCCACGAACGCTCGGTCATGCG